GCGGACCGTTTCGCGCCGTGTGGCTTTTCAATTAAGTCGGCCGTGTCGTTCCATTGTGCTATATTTACGCGGTTGTTTCAATTAAAACTGTTCGTCGTTGATAACCGCATCTAATATACTCAACGGAAGCGCCTCCTCGCTCCGTGAACGCGTCGTAGAATCGGGCGAGCCGAGAATCGATGTCACACTTTTCTGTCAACGAGACGAACCGCCCGGTTTTCTATTCCCGTTTCAATTTTTTCCCCGACCGTGTAAATTGTTTTCGATCCCTTGAAAAAACATTGATTTTAATTTCGGATACGGGGCTGCGGAATTTATTCCGTTTGCATTCGTTCACTAAACTTTGCTCTTATCTTTCCTTTTTCGATCAAGGGTTGACCACCCTTTGCCACGTTCAAGCTTTCGGTTGTTTTCTCGCGAGGCTTCTTGCGACGATAAATTTTTGTTGCAAGTTGTACGCGTAGATCAATATACGTGAAAAATCTCTGAGGTCTGTCAAAACACGAGCGAATACATAGAAAAATATTTCAATCCGATCTGTCGAATAGATTTACCTAAAAAAATTCCCAAAAATATCCGAAATTTTAATTTCCTCTCGGTTTGAACAGTCGATACGTTCGATGCGAAAATGGCAGAAATCTGGGATCGCCAGATCCGAACATATTCGGTCGAGGAAAGGGAGTACATTTTCTTCGTTTCTTCCTTTTCGCATCGTGCATAACGAGTAATTTCTCTTATCCGCGAAAACTGGAGAAGCAGATCTTCGGCCAGAACGAAAAAATCCGTTCGAGAAGCTCGCGAAACTGACAATGAAGAGAATGACTGACCTATTTAGTTAATGCTCTCAGGATTTTTCCGCGAGCGGAAAATTCGCTGCGACGTTACCGGTCCTTTGCATTTACACGCTTTGAGCCTTTGCTCTAACGCAACCATAGAGTTTCATAGTCGGCGTGTTCCTTTTTTTAGACGAGGTTTTTGCCCGTCGTCGTTTCTTTCAATTTTCCACGACGAAACGAATGAAGCGATAAAGGGGTTCGGGTACCGGAATGGCAGAAAACTTCAATAATCGTTCCTCTGGATTATTTTTATGCGATTCATAATATACCCATTCGATGTAATTTAAACCGTTCCCCTTCGCCAGTATTTCCGGCAGAAATGTGGCGTTCTGTTTATGCGGAATTTTCCAACAACCTCGAGTCGAAGTATAACACTCTGACCCGAAAGTCTCAACGGGCTCGTTCGGGCGAAAATCTTCGTCGCGTGATTTTCATTTTTCTTTCCACGAACCAACGCGCCATGAAACTGTTTACCGATACTTCTAATAAAAATAGTAATTTTACGTCTTTTTTAAAATCGAACATTGATAATCTTTAAATCGTGCACGCTAGATTATTAATAAAACCTCGACGCAACGACAGAAACTAGCGATATTTAAGAATATTATTAGATTTGTCGATCGATGGATCAGAACGGAATAAACGGAACGTTCACAGAGCAAAGAAAGGAACGAAGTACATTTATCGACTGGCATGCGCAAGTTGTCATTGTTATTCAACGTAAAAATTGATGGAGCTTACGTCTTTTGTACGGATTTGTATCGCTAAGCGAATCGGTGTGCAGAGAAAACAAAGAGCTTCCCGTTAAGCTTTAGATGAAAGGTCCGTGCAAGGATGCACCTTTTTATTGTTAGCCCTTCATACCGGCCTTTGGCATAGTGTTTCATTAGAATCCAACGTGTCGTGTAAGTACGCTGAAACGTCGGCTTTATCGTGCTCCGCGATTGTCGTAATCTGTGTATTTATACGACAATGCTCTCCCTAGTAATATATCTTTTTCGAGACCTTGCTTTTTCGTCGGCACATTCAAGTTCCCGATCCCTCGTTCTGTTATTTATGGCTGTCCGTCGTTCGTAACTTCCCTCCAGTTGATATTACAAATTGAAACGCTCGATGCGTTATAAAACGCGAGAAGACAAAAGAGAGAACACGATGTTTTCCACGTTACATTTTGGCGTTTCATTTTTCGGCCTACATTGCGATGCAATTCGTTGGATTTGCCACGATTTGGGTCACGGTATTCGGATCGATGCCTTTTTCTCGCAATGCCAACGGAATAAAATTGTACTCAATGTACTCGTTACTCGACACTTATTTTTAGAAGATAAAATGTCGCAATTTATGCCTCGTTTGGTCTCTGGCTATTATTCGTTAAGATATTAAAACACTTTCTTGCATACTTACCTGTTTGCTCCCAAACTGCAAGCAATAGATTAAAAATATTTTACGAGAATGAAAGGAACTCTAGAGAAATTAGTATCTTATGAATGTCAGTGACTGGTTTTGATTAATCGACGGAAACTATGCTTATGGAGAGTATTATGAACGTCGTGTTGCATGCATTTGCTAAGATTAATGGATCGTCGAACTCGTGTAATCGCGTACGCGAACGAAACTGTATCGCTAGTTTCCTTTTCTTAAAAATTTAAAAGTCATCGAGAGTGGAGCGTTTCGATTAATCGAAATGACGATTTCTGTAACGAATAAAGCGGTCGTTATCTTGTCGGCCGGATGATTTGTTCCCATCGATATCGGTGCTTCAATTTTGATGAGACTTTCATTGGCCATAATTTTCGCGTTAAGCGCCTTGCAAGCACTTAGTTCGTAATACACGATTAAGTGTGTTCTCGACGGAAGATACATCTCCGCTGTAGGGTGTACCCTGGAGGCAAACAGGTTATTACATTCCACGGGTCGTGGGCGAAATTCCTGAGGTTAGAATCACAGTGACACGGGAAAACATCCCTTGTAGTCTTCATCGTGATCGCTCCTTTTAAAACTTCGAGGCACAGAGGATTATCGATCGTATCTTAATATCGGGAAAAAATTCTTTCGATCTCTGACCAGAAACTTTTTACTTTTATTAAAATTTATTACTAGTTTACGAATCTCAAACACAGCATGTACGTTCGATTTGTTTTTATCACAGGGGAATATAGTTTACAGACAAATGATTGTACTTTATGGATTTTCGAAGGTATATAATTTAAATAATTAACCGATGTCGGAGAGAGAATGCAAAGTGCAATCAAAGGCAGGAAAATTATAACCCGATGTTTGTTCTGTACTCATATCGCGTATGTAGATCTCGTTGATCGAACAATATAATTAACTTACCTCCTTTGAAGAATCGTCCGTGTATCTCGATGGCAATTACTTACCGGCGGATTCAAAGCATTCTATTTTGCAATCTATTTTGCACGTTGCATTGAGGATGAAAACGTAACTCATTGTTCTATTTCTCAACTGTACTACAAATTTACACAATCATCGAGAGCCAACCGAACGAAATATAATAAACGTCGAATTTGATGTCGGTCTACACGTTCATTAAATTAATTAGTCTACGAGCGTTAATCAATATAATTTTCAACGTTAGAGATCAGCTATTCTACAATGCTACAAATAACGAGCACATCGATTCGTAAGTGTTCAACGAGTCTTCGTTATTAACACTAGATTCACGGAACCCGTAGACGGGTTCTACGTTTAAAATTACAGAACTCATAAATATTGTTCGTTAGCGATTTACGAGAAATACGTGTGTCAATATCGATAAAAATATGTGCAGCAAATGTCCGTAAATCTAGCGTTAAATCGGTAAATCGTTCTAGGTAGAAACGTGTACACTGGTTCGATAAAATGTGCAATATTTCATTGGATGTAAAAGGATACGGTAAAATTCTTGTATCACGTGGAACGTTTTCTGTTACACGCACTCACGTACTTATAATTAACATACATGTATATACATTGATCACATTAATACATCGAGTGAGCATTTTAGTGTTGCCTGGAAACATTGATTGTTTTCACAAGTCGATAAAACGCGTCTTTACTGGCTTTCCCTTGAATAGTATGCACGGCGAACGACGATTGTACTTCGTGATTGTTCGCCGTGGAATCGACGTATCCTTTGGTCTTCTCTGCAGCGAGTTTTCGCTCGTCGACCATATTGTGCGTACTTTTGTGTTAGCTTAACGGTTCGCCAACAAAGAAGTACCGAGAACTTGAAATTGTCACGAGATTAGAACGTTGATTAGAGTACAATCGTTTGCTCGACGAAAAGTAGAATGAAATTTAAGACGATAGTCGGTATTTACACGAGAGGGATAAGGGAAACCACTGTAGCCCCCTAAAATATTTAAGTAAAATTCGCAAGAACGAAGTTACAGAAGTTTAAGAGTATTCCATGATTTCCCGTTTCACACTGGTTTTCTGTTACATCTACCAAACTTTTTTATATCAAATTTTTACAAGAAGTAGTTTAAGAAAGATGCTTTTTGAAGGTTTATTAGAGAGTTGCTTTTATTTTCCAGACGCCAGTGGTTCCCCCCTTTAAACGAGAGCGCGTTCAAGTTTGTCGAATTCGTTTTTCTGTAAAACGCGAGACGACATGCCGCGCGAGCCTTTCAACGGATTAAATTCAAAGAATGTCGGGCCTTTCGATTCTTCCTTGACGCGTTTTCCGTCGCATGTTCTATGAATGAACATGGGATCGCGGTCATGCGATGTCTCGCGATACGGGTATTCAGGTTATTTGTGCGAGAAGAAAACACGAAACTGGAGGAAGCACGGACGTGACGTCTCGCCTGTGAATCGGAGGCGATAAAACGTCCCGCGTTTTTCCCTTAATTGCTAAAGAAATTTGCGGCACGTTTAATTGAACGCTCGTCGCGCTAATGAGTACGAAAAGAAAACTCGTTCCTCTGAGGAGAACATCGCTATCTTACGTCCGAGTAAAAACGTTGTTTGCATTCCAAACGGTCGCGAGCAAACTAATTTTCCCCTTCGACGGAATGTTCGTCAGCGAATACCTCTTTGGGGAAAATGAACGTTTGTGTTTCCACCTTAATAAGTCTTCGACAGGCAAGATTGTACGTGCTGCGCGAGACGAATGGGATTCTCTGTTTAATATCGAAGTTACCGTACGTGGGGGGTTTATATTCCTTCGCGTTTATCGTGTAACGGAGCTTTGTTAGCTCGTCAAGGAGTAGGAATTTGTATTACCAATCAATCGTTTGATATTTAATTTTAGAAACGTATCCGAGATCGAGATTTCGTAGTCAGGACCGAATAACCTGGCGCTGCTGTTTTATAAGAACAATCGAATATAAATATAGCATACATAGGTGAAGATTCCATACTGAATTTACCGGGAAAATACTATTATTCTCTGCATGTTCTTTGACGATAATTTAAAAAGTAATGTATTTGGGAACAGCCGTAAGCTAATCGAGTAGGGGTTCGTTGAACGTATTCCCTTCGAACGGCAGAAATCACAGCCGGGGAAGTAGCCTCGAGCGACCAATTAATTTCGTCCCAACTTTATGATCGAAAGCTCGTCGTAAAAAGTTTCGTCCGAAAGTCTCTCGTCTCGTAATAACCGCGTCGAGTGGTCCGTCGAACCTCAAATTGCTCCGACGGAATCTCGAAACTGTTTCGAAAGTTTCCCGTGAATTGACCGTGTCGCGAAGGAAGGGTCCACCTACGCGCCAAGTCGGATACCGTTTTCTCGTTATTGTTACTTTAAGCTGCAATTTCTCCAGTTTCGGATTAAGCTAGTTCCCGCGTTCGAGTAGTAAAACGTTTCCAAGAAACGGAACCATTCGCGGGTTTCTGACGCCCGAGGGCTGTTGATATCAGCGACGCACCTGGTGTTTGTTTTCCAGCTTCCTGTCGACGCTTATCGTCCATTATTCTACGTTGTACCGCGAAAATAAACACGGGTCGGACGAACGACGGTTAGATAGGAGAGAAAGGTGTCAGAAATGTTCAAGTTCCCGTGGATGCTACTAATTCGGTGACGATGTTGACCCGGTGGGCTGGTCACGTGACGTGGTACTGTTGCAGATAGAGTCGGCCAGAGCTCTGTATACCGATGAAAGTCAGAAAAATCAACATGACGTTGATCGATGCCCCGCGCGTACCGTTTCGTCGATCGCCACCGTGCATGGCCGCTGGTTTTTCCTCCTCTGCAACGAAAAACAACAACAACCGGTTAATTTTGGTCCTCGTGCGGGAAAAAATTATTCAAAGAAAAAGCGCGGTCGAATTTGTCACATTTCTATTAAATCGATTACTCTTTGATTACCTTCGATCACGTGTATCATGATGTACGCTGGCCGGGCGTTGCTCGGCGAGCAAGTGTAATTGGCGCCGTGGGAGAGTTTCACTTTGTCCACTATCAGAATGGAACCGTTTTTGGTAGCCTCGACTCTGACCCCCGGTTCGTCGTCGTAATTGATCATGCGTCCCTGTCTGTACCAAAAGATGAAGCTCGGCGCTTCCGCGGATGCAATCAGTTGGCACTCCAGTCGAAGGCTGGATCCCTGCTTCACGTGAAGATCCGGTCCGCCGGGAATTATGGAGTACGCTTCGGTGACGTTCAGACGAATGAATTGCTGGCGAACCGGCTCGGTTTGAATCTGTCGCGACAGAGAACGATGGAAAAACATAGCGCATCGCGACTCCAGTTTACAAGATCCATCGAATATTTTCACGGAGGCCCGGCGAACTGGCGATAAAATTCACGAATAAAATGTAACGTCACGATTCGCCGCGTTCTTTCCTCGAAAGTTCATATTTTCGCTCGTCGTTGTGTCTCGTTCATTATTTTAAGAACCATTGTGTTGCACGTGGCAACGATAAGGGATTCGCGGCATTGTGCGCCGTTGTATTTCGCGGCTTTATTTACGTTATACAACAATAACGTAGAATTACGCTAGCGTTTCGGTTATTTTGATACTCGACAGCCCATAATTCACTTTTGTTTGCATTTTGTTATTACCTTTCTGCCTTTTGTTATCGGTCTTCCATACTATCTGCTACCACGAAAAGATTATATCAAATTGTACTTTACATTCGGCCGCGTTACCTGACACTCGTACATCCCAGCATCGTCGCGTTTAATATTCTTTATCAGCAGCGTCCAGTCAGTACTGTTCGAGTCAACTTTGAACCGCTTGTCGATGGCATGGGTGTCGCTGCCCACTGTCAATAGTTGCCTATCTTTCCGTCTGATCCAAGTTACCTAAAACACGAATGCACAAATTTTCATAGAGTCCCTTTGGCAGAAATAGGTACTGAAAGTCCGTGAGAAGCTGGCTAGCGTAATACAATGTACATGTGATCGATAGATCTAGGCTTGCTCGTACGACAGTCGAATCTATGTAATATTCGAGAGGAATTCTCCGCTGAATTACGGAGAACGTGGTCGTTTTTAGAGATTCAAGGAGATCGGTACAGTTTCTCGCGGAGACTTTGCGAGCCGCATAAATGTTGCAGGCCGTCGTTCGTGGGAGTTCACTTAGACGAATTGCGGGAGTTTAAATGCGGAATGCGTGGCGGAGAGAGGCGCGAAATACGAAGTCTGGCGCACTAGAGCAATTTGACGCGGCTATATAGACAAATGAATCGCGAAGGCGCACTCGGAGATTGTGAAACGTTGCTCTTTAAACGCCTCTTGCGTTTCGCGCGACCGCGTCAGCGTTGTCGCTCTTTTTAATTCACTGCTGACACTTGCGGGGGTGAAAAAGCTGCTGCACACGCGCGTCATTATCGCTCGAGGACGGTACATAGAGCGCTCGATAAATTTTACAAAGAGAGAAAGCACGTTAGACTCTAGCCGGAGTTTCAGTTTCGAACTCGGGCGGGGAAAACAGATTTTAATAAAGCTACGATCTTTCGAGGCGAGAATTTTGTCGTCGTGTCGCATTGAATTCCGAATCAAAGCTCTCTTTCGCATTAAGCGCGAGGAAGTTTAATCTTCCGACGCGTCGCGTCCAATTTTTAACGATATCGTAAGTCCCCTTTGGAAACTTTTGCATTTTTAACGCCGCTTCCGGCCTTTATACGTTGTATCTGCTATACAGTAAATATTATACTCGTTTCGTGAGATTGCTCCTTCCTGCATTATTTATGGCTCATCCAAACTGAAGGAAAGTAGCTCTAATAATAAATCCTTTCCTCTTCCGTAAGTACGAAACATCGTCATCCGGCTTAGCCATCCGTAATACTGTTTTCACCTCTTGGCCGGCGTTATTCTTACATCCGCGGTAAAGGCGATTTGCGCGAGAAATACGCGACCGGCGTTCTCTCTTCGCGCATAAATAGCAGATTAAAGTTTCATCGCGCTGCGAAGGCGTACGCGACATATTTCTCCGGACCGCGACTCGAAGAATCGTAAAAGAATTTCTCCATTCGTCGCTTGCGTGTCACCGGACGAGGTAATTTTTATTTTTATATCGTTCGTACTTCGCGAGAGTACGATCAACGCAATTGCAGTGTCGTTAACATTTAACGCTCCAGCTATTCGGCGGCATGAAATACTTCGAATATTGCACGATTGATGGAAGATTATTTTTAATATTATAAATATTGCTTTCGAAAGCAAACAGAGGACGAGAGTTTCCTTTGATCGTAAAAAGTATAGAAACTTAACGTGCGATTCTCGCGACGATTCAAGGGTTGAATTCTGCTTGTCGACGGACAATAAAGCGAAGCGTCGTCGCCGAGCTAAACTCCAGATCGCAACGGGCGCGCGTTAACGAGACGAAAATCCCTCTGAATTACCATAATTGCCGTTCTGGTATATACATAGCTCGCGGGGCAGTCGAAGTCGTCATTGGCAGCGTAGCCAAGGGAGAAAGATATCGGGGTTCTCTATGTTCACGGCGATGACGCTGGGAAAAGGAGACCGGGCACTTGCGTGCCTTAATTGTCTTTGTCGAGTGCACTCGACGTCCGCGGCAAGTAGGTTTCGCGATTTTCTGATGCGGGCCTGAAGATCGACGAGTACCGACGCGACGAGTGCACTCGAGCATAAACGGGCTGAATAATGAACCGCCGCGACGTATTACGAGAGTCAGCGTCTATCTTTTCAGCTGCCTATTAACGCAATCGTCGCGATACTCGATGTGTATCCATCGCCGTTTCGTTGTTCAATTTTTCCACGAGCTTTCCCTACGAGCCTCGCGGAAATTTATTATCCATTCGTCCTAGTTAACGGGGTATCCAGAATTTAAAAAGCAGTACATTTTTCTGGTTGGAGTTTAGGACCACTGCGTGACGATTTCGATCATTTCCGGGTTGCCATGTCGAAGCGATCGCGACAATTTTATCCCCGGACGGAAATAGACCATGCAAAGGGAACTTCTTGCGGCGTTTATACAATCTTCATTTCGCGACGACGGGAAAAGAAACGAAAATAATCCTTCTTCCAGCTGACTGAGTTCCATTAATCAGGCTTTTCTTCGCACGCGTGAACTTGCCGGAGCGATTACATCGCCGGTCGTTTAATTAATGTCCCCCTCGAAAGAATGGCGATCGCGATCGCGATAAATTTATTGTACGTCCACCGACGCTATTGTCTCTTCCAAACCGGTAGATTCTTTTCTCGTTTTGTATTATTTTTTTTTGTCTCGAACAGCGATTTTTTAAAAGTCCTTTTCTCAACGCAATGAAGATTATTAGTAGTGTCTACGTTATACGATATAAAGGAACGTACAATTGCTGTAGGTTTCCGAAGGAGAACATCGATCGAGTGTTACGTCTTTGTAAAATGGCACGATGCTGAAAAATCAGGTCGCGACGAGACAGCGTCGAACGGGGACCTGTCGCGTTGGATTTGTGAAATTGAAATCGAAGTGGAATTTGTTAAAAATGCGTCCGTCGATAGATCATCTAGCAACCTAGTTTGTACCGCTTAACCGTGATCGCGTGTGCAGCCGGCATCGTTTCGGGCATATATAAAAATAACTTTTAATTAACATCCGCGGTACAGGCGTCGCTAATTGAAAAGTAACACGCGCGGAAGTTATTAATTCGACGCGTTAACGAGTATCTGCAGCTCGTAACTTTGTGGAATCGATTCGCGTAACCGTTGTTCCATGAAAACGAAATGTCAGAGCGCCGGAACGTGTTGTTCTACCCGCGTGTCCTAAAGATGCATCGACCGAATTTCCATCGCGACTGCAAATCAATGGGTAATGGATTATTAAGACGACGTCGCCGTCGGACTTGGAAATTTCAATTACGTCCATGGAACGTCGAGGATGATGGATCGGGTAACGCCGGAAAGATCGATGCATCGACGGCGATCAGATTTTCACGGTATATTTTAAGCAGTAACATATATTCCAATAATCGCGTAATGGAAGCGAGATTAATAAGCGCGAAAAATTATCGGCAGAAATCTGGTTTCAAAGGAACGCATTAACGTAATGCAGAGTAACGTATTTAGCGCCGCTTTGTCGGCCAGCTAAGGAGCACGATCGATGAAGGAATTTTCACTTTGTTTCGTTATTAAGGAGCGTAAATAGGCTATCGTTAAAAACTTTCCCTCCTATTCGGGCTCTCTAATCCAATTAGTCGAAACGTTATAAAAAGTTTGCGTGCTTTATAGCAATGAAGAAGATTGGAGGGAAGAAGACTAGAATCTCGATGAGAATAGGACCGTTGCCGGAAGAGGTTCCGCGTGCTGCGCTTCCTCCTTTCGAGTAACAGTTTTTACTTCGGTTTCGAGCAACGGTATCGTTCTTGTTTATGTTTAATTATACTAATGATAATTACACGCAGACAGAAACCGAACAACTTTGTGTTTCATTAATATCGTTGATCACCGCGCCTAATTTATCGTAACGAACCGATACGGAGTATCGTAATCTCGCGGGCTGTAAAACGGTTACAGGCGAGCCGTAAAACTGGAGAAGTCTCGTAAAGCTAAACTGTTACTTCGGACCTGAACGATGATTCGAGGGATCTTAAAGACGCGTGAAAGGGGTGCTATGAAATGTAAATAACGATAAGACTGTTTCGCTGGTGCTAACAAAAATACCAGCAATGATCTACTGCAACGGAAAGTGCAGGGAAGCAATTAGCGAAAGCTGAACCGCAATAGATTACCGAGTACCTACAGTTGGCGCAGTTAATCAACATTCGTAATAACGATACAACATGTTTGTAATTAATGCACTCGGTATGCGCGTCCATAATTAACGAAGCTACGTTCACGGACGGAAAAGTCAAGACGCACACAGTCGAACCCATAAGCGGGGTTAATGAATCCTTCGCTATTCTAAAACTAATTGTTACTATCAGCTATCCCGTTAATTGCATGAAACGATACATTACGCGTGGAATGGATGATTCGGTATGTAAAACGTTTAACCACCGACGCACTAATAAAATATTTCTCGAAATTGATGGCATCGTGCGTGCTCGATTTATCTTCAACTTTCCATTTTGAACACACCACACGCGACGGTCAGCTATTATCAAATTATCCCGCCACACACTGTGTGGTCCATTACATAAATTAGTTTTTCTACACTAATTAGAAGATTTCTCAAAAACTGAGAAATATTTTCGTGTGCCTCGTAATGTTTAGTTCTGCCTAACAAGATTTTTTCTGGGGATCGTAACTGACGTGCTGTAGGGGGGTCGATTGCACCAGGAGTCCTGCGAGACGTTTCGTCACTTTTTCCTTGGCGTGACCCGCGAAACACGTACCCTGGTACGTGCTCACGATAGGGTGGCGACGAACTCGCGCGTGATTACTCATTCATTAAGTTCCAAGCTCGCATCGAGTGGACGCAGAAGGACTCTCCGGGGTCGCAGGGGTGAAAACGTAGAGCATTCGCGTCGCGTACAAGCCAGGTTGATGCTATTCGTGCACGGCAAGCGTCCTGGCGTCTAATAGCATTCGTACGCGCGAGGCGGCTCGTCCGAGCGGAGAGCTAGGATCGGTTCGTTGATCCTTCGCGATATGTAGTCGCGTGTAGGAAAAAAAAACACACACGGAGTGTCAAGACAGAAAGCAGGGTGGCGAGAATGCGCGATGAATAAAAGATCGCGAGCGTTTCTGCGTGGCTCCGTGCCCGTTCTCCTATCGATTGGCTTCTTGACGCTTTTTGATCTGCCTCGATATATGAGCCGACCGGGGCCTCCGGGTTATCTTCGGGTCGTGAAGCTATTTTATGAGTTTTTTTCGACGATTCCCAGCTTCCCGTTCTATCTCGATCCGCAGAAATT